TGCACAATCAGCTTGTAACACTCCAAAGAGAAAGGAAAACTTGAAATCGCATCATATGACCACCTTTAAGAAAGAAATGTTGAGAAAAGAAATGCGTCAAAATTAAGCATTTAGGCTCTTTTTTTGGTTGTGTAACTAAAAGCTGCTCATACTTCATGTGATAAATGACATCTGTGATTATTTTTCTACAGGGGTTTTCAAACTGGGGACCACAAGGGGATGCTAGGGGGTCCGCAGTAAATGTCAGAGAATAAAGTAAAAGTTAAAAAAAATTGGCATTATGGCATAATTCTAGTCAGAAATCAAGAGAATCATGACTAATCATGATTGAGTACTGACAACCTTGTTTTAACAGTAATAAAAAGATATCAATTTAAAAAGTAGCCTATATTTTCCTTTAAGTTGACGAGTACAATTAGTGTCAATAAAGATGGCATAATTCTAGTCAGAAATCAAGAGAATCATGACTAATCATGATTGAGTACTGACAACCTTGTTTTAACAGTAATAAAAAGAAATCAATTTAAAAAGTAGCCTATATTTTCCTTTAAGTTGACGAGTACAATTAGTGTCAATAAAACTCACTGTTTATAAACAATTCGGTGTAGGCCTACTGTTTTTGTACACAGTATATGATTTATACATGTGAATATATATTAAAGTTATATTCACCTTCATAATTGATCTTCGTGTTTTGGTGTCCTTTGTCAACACAAACTTTGAAACCCCCTTTATTAGGACACCTGTGCGAACCAGAGGCCATCTTATTTCATATATGCACTAGAAATTACCTTTATTTAGTATAATTTAGCATAATTGATTCCACTTGGTTTTCAGAGTTGGTTTCCATCTAACGCAATCGCGTTTATATAATTAAAAACAGTGCACTAAGTTCCCCACAATACATCACGCTTAAACATATGTTAAAAATGATACACACTCACAAGACTGAAGATCAAAGCTGTTTATGTGAGATTATTCCTCTTGATGGCACCATGTTGAGTCACATGACCGATCTGAATCTGATCGATACAAAAAGAATCAATTTCTTCGTACGCTGCTTCGCTCAGTGACTCTTTCTGGGGGATTACATTTTTACGCCAGTAGGTGTGTTTTAAATGAGTCATTGAATCGTTTATTTGAACGAGTCCATCGAAAATAGTCCTAATAGTATTAGATAAATGAATGCGTGTAGTTTGCACAAAATGACAGTTAGTTAGATTACCATCAGGTAAATGGCGCAACAAATATGATAAACACAGAAGGTCACACGTTTGAGCTTTTATGTTTATCAATTATTAATAATAAATAAACAATAAAATATATGTATTCAGGGACAAAGTGTAAGCATATGTGCCTAACATAATTCTGTATTTTTAGCTAAGAAGAATAAATATTTCTATTTTGGTGTCGGCCAGTACTCATGATATTTTTTGTGAACTGGTTTTAAGTGATAATTAAAAAAAAACTTGAGTGTATCATATCATGAGATCAGTAATATCGTGTAACCAATTCATGAGTTTATAGTTACACCTTTAATCATTTTATCAGGGGGAATTTATTTCTGAAAGACATACAATTAAGTCTTGGAGACGAGTTGGCCTATTATGTACTGTATGAACTTATAATATTTAAAACATTTGTGAAAATAGCCTTGATGCAGTTTAACCTTTTGGATAAAATCTATACTTTGGAGGACAAAATTTACAAAAGTATTCTGTTTGAAATCAAAATACTCTTACAAAACCCTCATTCAAGTTTCTTTTTTAAATAATAAATACATTTTCAGTGCAGATTTTCAGTGTGATATTTTCAGTTATGCATTTTCTCGCAAAGACCAAATCTTCATGTCCCTGAACGTAAGGTGTCAATAAAGCTCACTGTTTATAAACAATTCGGTGTAGGCCTACTGTTTTTGTACACAGTATATGATTTATACATGTGAATATATATTAAAGTTATATTCACCTTCATAATTGATCTTCGTGTTTTGGTGTCCTTTGTCAACACAAACTTTGAAACCCCCTTTATTAGGACACCTGTGCGAACCAGAGGCCATCTTATTTCATATATGCACTAGAAATTACCTTTATTTAGTATAATTTAGCATAATTGATTCCACTTGGTTTTCAGAGTTGGTTTCCATCTAACGCAATCGCGTTTATATAATTAAAAACAGTGCACTAAGTTCCCCACAATACATCACGCTTAAACATATGTTAAAAATGATACACACTCACAAGACTGAAGATCAAAGCTGTTTATGTGAGATTATTCCTCTTGATGGCACCATGTTGAGTCACATGACCGATCTGAATCTGATCGATACAAAAAGAATCAATTTCTTCGTACGCTGCTTCGCTCAGTGACTCTTTCTGGGGGATTACATTTTTACGCCAGTAGGTGTGTTTTAAATGAGTCATTGAATCGTTTATTTGAACGAGTCCATCGAAAATAGTCCTAATAGTATTAGATAAATGAATGCGTGTAGTTTGCACAAAATGACAGTTAGTTAGATTACCATCAGGTAAATGGCGCAACAAATATGATAAACACAGAAGGTCACACGTTTGAGCTTTTATGTTTATCAATTATTAATAATAAATAAACAATAAAATATATGTATTCAGGGACAAAGTGTAAGCATATGTGCCTAACATAATTCTGTATTTTTAGCTAAGAAGAATAAATATTTCTATTTTGGTGTCGGCCAGTACTCATGATATTTTTTGTGAACTGGTTTTAAGTGATAATTAAAAAAAACTTGAGTGTATCATATCATGAGATCAGTAATATCGTGTAACCAATTCATGAGTTTATAGTTACACCTTTAATCATTTTATCAGGGGGAATTTATTTCTGAAAGACATACAATTAAGTCTTGGAGACGAGTTGGCCTATTATGTACTGTATGAACTTATAATCTTTAAAACATTTGTGAAAATAGCCTTGATGCAGTTTAACCTTTTGGATAAAATCTATACTTTGGAGGACAAAATTTACAAAAGTATTCTGTTTGAAATCAAAATACTCTTACAAAACCCTCATTCACGTTTCTTTTTTAAATAATAAATACATTTTCAGTGCAGATTTTCAGTGTGATATTTTCAGTTATGCATTTTCTCGCAAAGACCAAATCTTCATGTCCCTGAACGTAAGACCTCTGGCCCCCTGCAGTGCCCGCGGACTCAAAGGGTCCCTCCACCTGGATTTATGATGAGGAACCCCAAACAGCAGGAGGTTTCAGAAGCAGTAGTCCTGCGGCCGGCGGAGGCTCCAGCAGGGCAGTAAGTGACCCCAGCAGTGCCACCCCTCCAGCCCCCTTCATCTCTCTCCACCGGGCAGCACACACAGAAAATGTCTTTTCTGTTCCCCGTAAAGGAAAGCTTTTGGTGACCTTGCTGTTGCCAAGGTAACACATCTGCCATGCATTTTCACATAGTTCGGCATCCCATTTAAAAGCATCTTTTGGGGTTCCTAAAATCATTTTGAATTGTTTGTGATGAGACTCGGCCAATATTAGTCATACCCACTAAATGCATTTTGCAGTCGACCATGGCTCTTTAACAAAGATATTTTCCTTTCCGTGAGAAGCTAAACGTCAGCGTTACAGTCAGTATCATCAGAGGAACAGATTGCGTTTCTTTCTCCACGTGTTTGTTAAACATTTGGATCCTGTTCACTCTCCATATGATGGGAGTCTCTCTATAGAAGGCTAAAGGAAACCAGGTGTGGACAAGCTGAACTCCAGAGGTTAGGAGTGGAAACGTGCAACACAAATTTTTATGCACCGTTTTCACTCACGGTCTTCTAAGGATTGCTAATCAAATGCAGCATGCTGAAGTGGTTCATAACACTTCGGAGAACCAGCAATGCAACACATCTGCTCCCAACAAACAAACAGAAACCTTTGTGGAAGATAAATCCTTCGTGGAAAAGCTCTCGTTGTCAAGACAGGCAGGACGGGAGTGTGATTTGAGGAAAGAGAGGGAGAGAGAGAGGAAGAGCCCGTCTGCTGGAGAGGCCATTTGCTCAATCCTCTCATAATTCCTGGATTTCTACAAGGCCGTTCTGGTTGTATTGCAGAACAAATGGGAAATAGCTTTCTGGGAAGGTCTTACTATTTTTAAATAGTACACTATATACAGCTGAGTGTATATTTGCATTCCACTTTTATCAACTAAAATGTATTCTTGCAGAATTTATTTAAAAAAATACAAGAGAAAAAATGTATATACATATATATACATAAGTGCTGTCAAATGATTAATCGCGATTAATCACATCCAAAATAAAAGTTTTTGTTTGCATAATATATGTGTACTGTGTATATTTATTATGTATATATAAATACACACACATGCATGTATATATTTCAGAAAAATATGTTGTTTATATATTAAATATATAATAAAATTATATGAATATAAATATATACATGTAAATATTTTCTAAATATTTACTCTGTGTATTTATATATACACATAATAAATATACACAGTACACACATATATAAATGCGGAACAATACTCGGCAGAGGGAAGGGATAAGAGTGAGTGTTATATAGTGAGGGAGTGATATGAAACAGCTGGGTGCAATCAGTGTAAACAGGTGTGTGCAATAGGTGCTGAGTGCAATCAGTAATGCATGATGGGAAATGTAGTCCGGGGTGATGTGCAACAGTTTGTGTAGTGCGAGAGTCAATGAAATGGAAAGTTCATGGACCGGATTTGTGACAAATATACAGTATATATTATATAAATTTAAATTATATATATTTTTATAATACATTTTTTAAAAGATTTACAATACTCAGTTAAAAATATGTCATTTTAATTTAGTCTTGTCTTTTATATATTTAGATTTTCCACGAAATAATACGAATTTACCCCAATATAACTTTAATATAGTTCTTGAAAATCAGTGAATGTTCACACCTACACACAATACAAGTTTGGGGTCAGTAAGATTTTGTAAAATATTTTTGTCTCTTACCATGGTTGCATTTATTTGATCAAAAATACATTTAAAAAAATTTTAATATAGTGAAATGTTATTACAATGTAAAATACCTGTTTTCTACTTTATTATATATTTTAAACTGTAATTTATTCCAGTGATGCAAAGCTGAATGTTCATCAGCATCATTACTCCTTAAGTGTTACTTTTGTAACATTATACATATTTACCATCACCTCAACTAAAGCGCCCTTGCTAAATAAAAGTATTAATTTCTTTACAGAAAAATGCCACTGACCCCTGCCTTTCGAATGGTAGTGTGTGTATTTATATATTTATAACATGAAGATTAAACCATGTGCTATTCATTGAATTCATTTCAATGGCACTATTCTAAGGCCAAATTGGATAATTTACTTTTTTATATAATTTGATCTCCAAATTCCTCCATCAGATTTATGCGTTAAACCAGATCGGGTTGTTTATTAAATTATTTTGAGTTGCATAGCATGCCTGTCCTGAAAGCCTGGGGATTTCACAGAGATTCAATAGAGGAATCCCTGTCTCAAAGTTCAGTTCTTTCCTGAACGCCCTATTAGTCATTCTCTGACATTTTACGATTGAGATGCATGTGATGGGCCGGTGTTTCCATCGGGCAGATGTGCCCGCAGCCCTTTAGTACACCAGCTGGGCCGTCCTGCACATGGCTGGGCCATTCTAGCTGCTGGATCACAGAGCCCTCTGTTTTCAGTCGCTGCCAGATAACACAGGGTCCTCCGGGGATGCCGTAACTCTAGAGGCTCCATTGTGCCATGTCACGCTGCCTGTACCGCAGTCAGCGAGGAACTGTCAGTTCAAATGAGTGGCTGCGGGCCAGCGTCTGAACGTGTCTGTCCTGAATGTGAGTGGATTAGCACTCTCCACATCCAGCTCAGCCAGGAAACTCAAGAAGACTTTTAAAGCAAAATAGGCGCCGATAAGTCGCCATCATAAATTTGAGGACACATGCTGACTAAAAACAACCCCAAGTAATGCAAAGTGAGCT